GAGGCAGAGGAAGAAGCAGGCTCCCGGCCAAGCAGAGAGCTGGATGCGGGGCTCAATCCCAGGACCCCAGGATCACGACCTGAGCCAAAGGCAGATGTTTAACTGACTGAGCCACCCAGTCACCCCTCAAACATCACTTTCTTACGGGGCCTTCCCCAAGTACCCTGCTTAAAATTGCAGCCTCGACTACCATCCCCAGCTACTCCTTACTCCCCTCTCTGCTTTATTTTTCTTCATATCACAAATCACTGGCAGACATAACTTATGTTCACTTGCTTGTTATCTCTTCCCTCCCAATGGAATGTGTGTGCCGTTTTCACAAGGGTGGAGACTTCTGTCTGCCTCTTGCACTGTCATATCTGCTCTACTGGGCATAGAAAAGGCACTCAATAAGTATTTGCTGAAGGACAGAATGAGGCAGGAGGGATGGGCCAGGCAAGAAGGGTCTTTTAAGTGGGTTGGCCTTCATGCTGGGGGCCAGGGCCTTTTAATGTTTTCACCAGAGGAGAAGACTGGTGTGGTCCACTTTGCATCTTGGAAAGATCACCCAGCTTGCAGTATGGAGCATGGGCTGGAAACAACTCCAGATCAAACTTTGTTGTGCTCTGAATCATGACATCATTGGCTTGTTGTAGTAACAGGAGAGAGTGTGGCCCAACAGATTGAAGGGGCCCCGGGGCCCCTTGTATGACTGAAAAGATCTCATTAAAAAAAGGAGTCTGGGGCAGATGGTGATTTCAGCTCTGCCATTTACCAGCTGTTATGGCTTTAGGCAAGTTATGTTAAGTAACTCCCAGAGCCTCTGGTTCCTCATCTGTGAAATGGGAATAACAAGAACAGGGTTGTTGTGAGGATTAAATAAAATGATTACAATCGTGGGACACAGGAAGGTCCTTTTTTCCCCTTTCCCATTATACTGACCCCAGGTATGAATTAACCAGACTTGGATTATCCTCTATACATCTGGGTCCCCTGTGTCTTCGATGGTAAAAATAGGTGTTATGACTAGTGTTCCAACGATGAAAAATTACTTTCTATAAATATTTGGGGATTTAGACTAGCTCTTGTCGCACTGTATATCATTCCTATGAAAGTTGGGCTTTCTGCTTCTCTTCACAGGGAGCCCAGCAGTCCTTGGAGGCAGCAGCTCAGAAGACAGGAGAGCCTCAAAGTTGTATAAATAAAGGGCTGATATGTTCAAACAGAAAAGAATTTTACACGCGCAAGCTGCACATCGACATGACGCCGTTCCTGAAGGTGATCTCACACTGAGAAGGCGAGGGGTTTTATAGACACATACACAGGCATTCCAGTTAATACATTTCTGCATGGTGCAAAAACAGCTTCAGAAGTCCCTCAGAGTTCCTGCTTTATCAGAAGGGACAGAAAATAGGCAGTTTGTAGCAGATGAAGGAAGAACAAATTAGGACAGTAATCACAGCCAGCCATCGGGGACAAATCAGTTGGGTGTCCGGTTTGGGTGGTGGGGGACAGAGAAAAGAGAGGAGAAAGGATAACCTTGAACTACCTCATAAAACAAGCAAATATAATTCGTTTTATCTTGACAGTAGCTAAAATAATTGTTACTCTTTTATCACCTTAACTGAGTAGAGCTGGTATTCTGACTAGAGGAGAAGACTGATACTTGGTAACTATTTACAAGTCAACTGCATATCCTCTTTGGATGTCTGACCTTATTTCTGTTCTCTAAGAGTTCATTATTCTCCTAAGCTCAGCTTCATATCTGGTTAAGGTACTCAGTGTTCCTATGGTGGATGTCATTTGTCCACTTTTCCAGTAGTCTCTTCTGCCCCAGCATCTAACACAGTGCCTGGCACTGGAAGGTGCTCCCTGAAGGCCCCATAAATTGGCCCCCTTCTAATCCAACAGCCCTCTGGCTTAGGGTCCTCTTCTTACCCATTCTTTGCCACCCCGAGAGCTGAATGAACTGGGAATAAATGATCAGGGAGTAAAAGAAACTAATCAGGAACCAAGCAAGGCTTGGAATGGAAGGATTTCTGATCCTTTGTACAACCCTAGAGAGCAACATCCCAGGCCCTTGATAAGAAATGACTAGGAGGGGGCACCTGGGTGGCTCAGTTGGTTAAGCGACTGCTTTGGGCTTGGGTCGTGATCCCAGAGTCCTGAGATGGAGTCCCGCATCGGGCTCCCAGCTTAGCGGGGAGCCTGCTTCTCCCTCTGCCTGCCACTCCCCTGGCTTGTGCTTTCTCTCTCTCTCTTTCTGGCAAATAAATAAATAAATAAAATCTATTAAAAATATTAAAAAATAAGATCTATTTTTTAAAAAAGTGACTAGGAAAGACAGAAACAGAGGAGAAGAAACCAAATACGTGCAGGGTTCGTGATGGTGGCACTATCTAATGCTGTAAGCTGTCAGAGACTTGTGAGGTCATGAGGGTCACCCTTCCAACCTCAGCTAATCCTGAGTTCTCAGGTTACATCTTCTCTGGGCTACTCCAATCCCAGCTCTGCAGTGTGGGGCTTCTATGAAGAATCATGTATTTGTCCCCAAGCTATCTCCCTCCATGACTGGGCCCTGCATTCCTCTGTTTCCTCTTAGATAGGCTCTTTCCCCATGTAACAAGATGGTCACTGACTTCTCTTTTCTAGATCATTCTGGAACTGAATCTCATTGGCCAAACTTGGGTCACATGCCCATGCCCAAATGAATCACTGTGGCAAGGAAATTAGAATACACTAATTGGCCTAGCCCGAAGTCCCAGGGACTAAAAGGGCTGAGGGGAGGAATATCTCAAAAAGAAAAAAGAGGGTCCGTATAACCACAATAAGAGAGAATGATTCTGGATGGGGCCGGGGGGGGGGGGGGGACAAAACGCTATAAGTATTCAAAATAATTGCTTTAATTCATTACTTATTATATTAGTTTGCTAGTGCCACCAAACAGGGTACCACAGACTGGGTGGCTTAACAAATTTTCTCACAATTCTGGAAGCCAGAAGTCTGAGATCTAGGTGTTAGGTGTTGGCAGTGTTGGTTTCTTCTGAGGCCTTTCTCCTTGGCTTGTAGATGGCTGTCTTCTCTCTCTGTCTTCACCTGGTCTTCCTTCTGCGTGTGTCTGTGTCCCAGTCACCTTTCTTATGAGGCACCAGTCATATTGGATTAGAGCCCATGCCAATGATGAGCCCACCTCATTTTAAGTTTTTAAAGACCATATCTCTAAGTACAAACACATTCTGAGGTACTGGTGGTGGACTTCATTATATTAATTTTGGAGGAACACCATTTAGTCCAAAATACTTCTACCATTGAAACTATCCCTTTTTTCGTAGCATCAGTTTAGTTCTCCCCTTTGGGCCCAAAGAATTATGGTTAGTACTTCCCGGGATGGGATAGCACAACATCATCACCACTCACTCATTCAATCCATAGTGAGCATCTGCTACCTACTCTGTGTCTGGCCCTTTCTGGGCATTTGGAATACATCAGCAAACAAAAGAGACCAGGATCATTGTCCTGCCCTAGGTAACATGTATAGTATGTCCAAAGGTGATAATTACTATGGAAATGAGATAAATATATTTATGGAGCATCTAGAAACTACAGACTTCAGAATGTAGAATTTTACAATTATTTTTGTGTGTGTATTTAGTGTCCACAGTGCTTTTAAGTTATACTTTCTGTTCAGCAATGTTGGCACTGTGTTTACAGAGGGGAAGGCATTGTCATGCCCAAGGCTCAATTTCCAGTCCACCCTTTCCAAGACTCACAGAAACTGTAACTCTGCCTGCTTCTGCAGGGGACTCACAGAGCACGCACTCCCGGGCTGTCCTTGCCCAAAAGATCACACCTTTTCTTGAGAATGTTCAGTGTTAAAAGCTCCCCTTAAGTAACCTTCCCCTTCTTGACATGGTAGCTCCTTGATTCTTAGGAAATCCTTAAGTATTGCAGAAAAGGACTAATCTCAGGGCTTGTGTAGAAAAGGATGGTGAATCAGAGAAAGTCCTGTGCTCAGCATCTGGAGCTTTATAGAAACCAGCTCTTTCTGCACGTCATTTATGCATTTCTTGCATATCCACAGGGCATTTCATTCACTTTTCCGGGTGCATGTAGGAAGCATTGCAAATTTCAGCATTTGAGAGTAGGAGATAAAAATATTGAGGCAGGGGGCACCTGGGTGGCTCGGCCGTTAAGCGTCTGCCTTCGGCTCAGGTCATGGTCCCAGGGTCCTGGGATCGAGCCCCGCATCGGGCTCCCTGCTCCGCGGGAAGCCTGCTTCTCCCTCTCCCACTCCCCCTGCTTGTGTTCCCTCTCTCGCCGTGTCTCTCTCTGTCAAATAAATAAATAAAATCTTTAAAAAAAAATATTGAGGCAGAAAAGGAGAATGGAAAGAGATGCAAATAATCATAAATGCTGACATGACTGAGCACTTACTCTGTGCCAGACTGTTCTAAATTTTACGTGCAGGAACTCATTTAATTCACAAAACGAATCTAAGAAATAGGTAACATTTTCCCATTTTACAGATGAGTAAACTAAGGCATTGAGAGGCTAAGTAACTCCCTAAATGTCCTACAATTAGTAAATGACAGAAACAAGATAAAGACAGCCCAGCTCCAGAGCCCATGTTTTCAACCATCTGCCATAAAGCCTCACTGCAGACCCCAAATGAGTGACCTTGTAACACTTCTGGGTCTGTGCTTCCTCTTTAGTAAAATGAAAATAGTAACACTGGAACCTCCATAGCTGTCTCTCAAAAGTGAGGTAAGAGTTACAGGAAATAATCTTGAAAGAATGTTCACACCCACAAAGGATTCAATTCATAAAGGAGAAAGGACCAAACATTCGTTGATTCCTGCTTAGGACCAGGCCCATATTAGAACTTTATTTCATTTTCCCACACGCTTCCTGAGATCTCTGCTGTACAGATGAGGAAACGGGGCTGGGAAAATGAGCTGATCATAGGTGACGCGGCTGCCAGCAGAGGGCGCTAGGATTCAAAGCCACAAAACCCACAATACCTGAGCCTGACGAGGTCAGTCTACTCTGTTCCTGTGAAGAATTTAATCTTTGTTTTGCCTTCAGAACCTAGGAGAGGAGCAGAGAATTAATAATATATTTAAATCTTAATAACACAAGATATCTGATGATTTTCATAAATCGATTTTCTTTATTAAAGAAAACATGCAAGATCTTTATAATACACAAGAAAAGTACTACCTTGAAGTTGAAACTCTTAAATAAGATACTGATTTTCTTTTTTTTTTTAAGATTTTATTTATTATTTATTTTGAGAGAGTGAGAGAAAGCACTAGTTGGGGGGGGGGTGGGCAGAAGCAGAGGCAGGAGAGGGAGATGCAGACTCCCCTGCTGAGCAGGAGCCAAATGCAGGGCTCGATCCCAGAGCCCCGGGATCACGACCCAAGCTGAAGGCAGACACTTAACGGAATGAGCCACCCAGGTGCCTGTAGATACTGATTTTCTTCCGTTTTTAAGAAGTTGTTGAAATTAGTCCTTTAGATGCATGTATTGTGGCATTGTTACACAGAATTTCCAAATGTATTTTCCTAAATAAGTCTTTCAAGAAGAAGACTGTACAATACTTATTATTACTCCCATTTCACAGATGGAGAGAGTGAGGTGCAGAGACAGGTCGTGTAGCTGGCTGCTGGCCCACTGGAGCCCCACCTCTGACTCCCGTATCCCACACTCCTCCGTTCTCTGGGAGCTCCTCATGAAAGCCTGCAGCGGGCCTAGAAGTACCAAGCTCAGATGGGGCACTGTGCTTGAGGGTAGTGGGCCAGACTAGTGGAAGATTCTCCAACAAGAGATGAGAACTGCAGGTCCCCTGTCCGTTGAAGAAACAGGCTTGGGGTTTGAGTAAGTCACCTGCTCTGTAAGGCATCAAGTGGAGGAGTCAGGGCTTCCAGGCAGTCTGACTGCAGGACCTGCACCCCAGCCACTCAGGCAACTGTCTCGTGTCTGGTTTCAGTGCTGCAGTTTGTGTTTACGAAGTGTTTGTTACTATCCCCACCCACCCCCAGCCCTATAATACCACACTGCTGCCAGTGCTCTTTCTAAATACAGCTCAGTCCTCTCACTGGTTTGCTTGGAATTTCTTTCCATGTCCCCATTGGCCTTCTGGTAAATCCTGGCATCAAAGATGTATTTCTTTTATAAATAGAAAAATAGAATAAATCCTTTTTTTTTTTTTTTTTGAACTCCATCCTGCAACCTGCAAGATTTGGCCCATATCAAATTCACACTGTCCACGCACGGCAGCCACACCACACCACCCCCTGACCAGCACGGGCTGCTTCCTCTGCCAGGAACTACCCTACCTCCCTCTTCTCTGCAAGACTTAGCACCACGTCCCCTGGTAAACAAGCCTTCCCCAGACTAATTTAGCTTCACCTCCTGTGAGGTCCTGCAGAAACCTGTCATAATCTGTCACAACATGTATCAGAGCATTGCAATGCCGAAGTTTTATGTCATTTCTCCACAAGTCTGTGAGCTGCTTACAAATAGATCCTTCAGCTTTGTGCTTCCAATGCCTAACACACAACCTGGCACACAACACTCCATCAGTGTTCATGGCCTGAACGAACAGATGAAGAGCAAATGACTTGGCCAGAATAACCAAGCTGGGATCGAATTTTCAGTCCTTCAGTTTGTTTCGCTCACTCACCAAGTGTTATTATGTGCTTCAATCACAGTTTAGTCATTGCATTTGTAATTCATACTAAAAATGACAAATTGCATTTTATTTGGTTTAGGGTTTTCTTTAAGGTTTTATTTATTTATTTGAGAGGGAGAGAGAACACAGAGGGAGAGGGAGAAGCAGACTCCCCGCTGAGCAAAGAGCCTGACGCAGGACTCCATCCCAGGACCCTGAGATCATGACCTGAGCCAAAGGCAGATGCTTAACTGACTGAGCCACCCAGGTCCTCCTGGTTTAGTTTTTTTTTAGTTGCTGTATAGTTGGCATACAATGTTATGTTAGTAGTTTTAGTTTTTTAATTCAAATTTTGAATTTGAAATATACTCAGACAGTCTTTGAAAATTTAAGTATGAAAGGGTATGTCTCTCAGCTCCCCTCCCCCTGGGCTCCACTGTTGCTAGCTTCTGGTGTGTCCTCCCTGACTGTAGTACACATACATAGGCCAGCACACGTAGAGGAGTGCAAAGACACATTTATACACACTTTAATATCATACACATTGTTCAGAGTCTTACGTCTTTTTACTCAGTAGATCTTGGAGTTCTTTCTATGTTAATTCATAAAGAGATGCTTTTCATGGTTGTGTAATATTCCATTGTGTGAATTACCATAATTTACTTGACTAGTCCTCAAATGGTAGCACTTTTAGGTGGTTTCAAATCTGTTGCAGTAAATGGCCTTAGGTATAAGTCACTTATCGCGGGTGCTCATATATTAAAACATGATAGGGTTTTTTTATAGTTTTCTAAGCAACAGACAGAATTTCACATTCAGACTACTTATTTTTCTAACAGGGACCCACCAGAAGTTTCTTTAAAAATCCTGACTCTCTCTGCCTCCATCTCCCCATCTGCGAAATGAAAATATTTCTTGCCCCTGAAGGCTCATAGCTATATATTGTTAAGACTGAAGGTTTATCCTTCTTGTCTTTGAAATTCTTCCAAAGGAGCAAGCTTGTTTCTTCCTTTTAATCCAGTTTCCTGTTAGATTAAAAGGACTTATGAACAGGAATTTGTCTTTTGGTTTATCTCTTTTCTACTCTTATAACTTAGCAGTTTACGGTGACTGAGGTGGGTTTTCCTGCTGTAATTTTTCAAAAAACCTTTCCATTTATTTAGGGATGAATTTTTTTTACCGTACCAAGGCTAAATCCACTTTGTCTCCAAAATGAGAAATGCAAAAGAAAGAAAATTACTGTGCTCACTTCGGCAGCACATTTACTAAAATTGGAATGATACAGAGAAGATCAGCACAGTCCCTGAATAAGAATGACACACAAATTCATGAAGCATTTCCTATTTTTTTGTACACCTAAAAGTAATATAACACTGTATGTTAATGAACTGGAATTAAAAACTTAGGGGGCACCTGGCTGACTCATTCAGAAGAGCATGATGTGACTCTTGATCCCAGAGTCGTGAGTTTGAGGTCTACATTAGGTATAGAGATTACTAAAAAAAAAAAAAAAACCTTAAAAAATAAATAAATAAAAACTTAAAAAGCCAAAAAAAAGAAAGAAAATTATTTACCTGCTCTAGCTCTATTTTTTTTTTTACAGATTTATTTGCTTGTTTATTTACATAATTATCTATGCCCAATGTGTGGCTCAAACTCACACACCTGAGATCAAGAGTCACATGCTCTTCCAGCTGAGCCAGCCCTAGCTCCAGCTCTTTTACGTCAGACTATCTCATTGGCTACAAACACGAAGCTGACAAATGAGAAACGCGCAGGGTAAAAAGCTGTAGAGTAAGAAGAGAATGTCAAACAAATTAGCAGTTAATTAATTGTCTCTTCCCAAAGCAGCTTGGGCATTTGATAACAAAGTGGAAAAACTGATTGTCACTAAAGATTGAGGAACTTTGGTCCTAGGAGAGACTTCCAGGGCTCTCCATATCCAGTTCCTTCTCTGTAGCTGAAATGAAGATGTGGATTCTGCAGAGATCCAAGTGACAGAGGCCAAGAGCTGGCTTCATCAGACACATGAGGCTTTATTTAAGTCATTGACTCTACCTGCCACATCACCTTGGCTACCAAAAACTGCTCTTCTATTAATGGTCAGTCTAGAGAAGAACAGTGACTGTCAATCCCAGTACATATTGGAATCAACCAAGAAGCCTTAAAATTGCCCTAATCCCAGAAAGTCTGATTTTATGGTTTGGAGGTCAGGACTGGAAATCATATTTTTTAAAGCTCCGCAAATAATTCTAACTTTGCAGCTGGGGTTGAGAACCGCTGTTACGGAGATTTCTAGATGGTGGATGGCACGCAGTTTGTATGACTGGGAGAAAGAAGGAGGAGGGGATTAGATGTGATAAGAAACCCAATCCATGGTAATCCTGGAAACTCAACAAAAGGTCAATCTGACCCTTTTGCTTCCCTGCCTTAAACCCTCAGTACCTTCCATTTGTTCTCAAGATAAAGACCAAAGACCTTAATCTACCTTCAAGGCCTTTGGATCCTGTCTCATCCCACCCCTTCCCATTCTTTCAGTGTCTGCTCTCATCACCCCAGTCATCCATCAAGTCCCTGGAGGTACCTTGCTTCCTTTGTGAGTTGGCTGGCCCGTGGCATTCTTCTTCCCACTCCCAGTTAATGCCAGGCATGGAGCACTGTGCACATGAATGGGCCAGCCTCCCACAAGAGAAGTACAACCGAGACCCCACCAGTGCTCAACACCACAGCTAAGCCCAGCTGGCTCTTTAGGGCTCTTCACACCAGCACTAGACTTCTTGGACACTGAAAGTTAAAATAAGCTGACAAAGAAGAAGAAACAACTAAGAAAACTGGATTTCCTTTTACCAAAGGGCATGGACCACAGGAGTGTTCACCTTTATTTTATCTTATGTATTTTTTTATTATGTATTAACCTCATAGGAAAATGGAGATGAACTGGACAATCATGAAGAACCAGGAGGACCCCTTGGAGAAAATCATCAAGACACCCAAGGTAGAGACAGCTGGGTTGGTTTTTAAATCTTATCACAATACTTCTCTGATGAGGTTTGCACTGGTTCAAAGATGTTAATGCAGAATGACCCTTCATTTCCTCTCAGGGCCAGAAGTCAGAAAACATGCCAAAGTGCTGAGTTCAGATGCTGGTGGTTCTTAGTGTATCACCAACCAATTGATGATAACATACTTTTATGTCCTTGGACTTACTGAAAGATTTCTTTCCTGCCAGAGGCCGCAGATTGATGGAAGAGAGTGGAGACTCTGGGGCATCATGAAAAGGCTGTATAAGCACCTCCACTTCCCTGTTCCTCCTGCTTGCACACAGGCTCCGATATGCAGGTGCGGGAGCTGAGGTTCCCTGCCTAGAGGGTTAATATTCCAACAGAGGGGGTGACCAGTGTCTTTAGAGACCCAGAACTTGTTGCCCCACCACCCTGAGTGGCCAGAGCTGTTCGAGTGTGGCTTCCTCCAAAAATGATGCTGCATTTAATAATGATGATTTTGGAAATATTGGGCCCAGAACTGGGCTTTTTGGCATAGTTCATATTCCCAGACCCTGAGCTAGACTCTAATCTCTTCCCTGAGGGCACCTGTGCATCTGCATGATGCTGCAGTTGGGTAGACCCAGGCAGCAGGACTGTTCTTTATCCTCATTGCATCTTGCAGGAGTGGAAACTGATATGTGAGGGACTCTTGTGTTCCCAAGGGGTGGACACAGTGCCGGCCAGAAAGAATTGTTTGGTGTTTGCTGTACAAAGGCATCCAACAGAGGGAGCAAATAGGGGCCTGTGCTCTGCTCCCAAAACCAAGCACCTCAGGACTGGGGGTCTCCACGCAGTGGGGGCTCCTTTTCCTACTCAGCCCTTCTGCTGGGGTGCCTTGCTTGGTTCATACAAGGTACTTTATATAGGCTAGCAACAGCAGCTCTGGGCAGCTGAGTGGAGAACGTGGGCTCTGCAGCCGGACTACCTCTGCCTTAAGCCCTCTGTGCCTCAGTGTCCTTAACTGGGGCTGAAAACAGTACTCCCCTCATAAGGTTGCATGAGAAATAAATGAAGTAATTCATAGATAGTAGCTCTTTCACAAATATTAGTCTTGACTTGGATATCATAATGATTAAATGTCTACCCTCTCATGGTCACAGTTTATCAACCTGTAAAATGACACCAGGACTCTTCCTATCTCCTCTAGAACCCATGAGTTGAGGGAGACTGTGAGAGCTCACTAGAGATAAATGTGCGAAGTCATGGATTTGGGATTTCATCCTAAACTTGGTATTTTTTTTTTGTTTACATATTTTACTATTTCTTTCAGTTGACATTCTAGACAAAAATAATTTTTATACTCATTTTAAAAGACTTCATTGCTGGGGCACCTGGGTGGCTCAGTCAGTTGAGCATAGGACTCTTGATTTTGGCTTGGGTCATGATCTCAGGGTCATGGGATCAGGCCCTGCATAGGGTTCCATGCTGGGTGTGGACCCTGCCTGAGATTCTCTCTCTCTCTCCTTCTCCCTCTGCCCACCCCCACCCCTGCTCGCATGTTATCTCCCCCTTTAAAAAAAAATTTAAAAATTTCATTGCTTCTGCATATCAGACAATAAAATATTATGATAGTCCAATTTCTGTATTTGGTCAAGCTTTTAAGCAGAGCTTTTGCTAAAATAAGTCTCCCACCCCCTCCATTTTCAAAGCTGAGTGACAGTAGCCAAGGAAACATGCTCCAGTCTTCAGACCTTTCATATCATAAGTCACATATGCAGAATGTGAACACTGATGAGGCTCCAAGATTCTGGCCAAGTGCAGTGGAGGTTTTAGGCAGTGCAGAACATGGCCAAATCTAAGCAATGACCAAGTCAGTTGAAACATTTCCTGTCTCATGACAGAGGGACGCACTCCAGCTGAGTTCCATAAAGGTTATCCAGACAGTCTTTAATGCAGTGAAATATCACTGCAGAAAATTAAAGAAGGCATTTGCCTGTCCTGAATGATAAATGCTAATGTTTAAAAAGGATTTCAAATCTTTGAAGGAAAACAAGACAGCATGCCAAGGAATTTTTTTTTTAACTATTTAAAAATCGCTCTTCCCCTCATAGGTCTTACATCCAATTGCCAGGATTTTTTTTCCTACACTAAATTAAGTAGTGATCTTCATGTTTAAATTATGAGCAGTGAACCAGTGCCATCTCCCCTGAGAATACCTTGAGTCTCAGACTTGGTGAGATTACTGCATGCAAGTTTTCGCCAGACAAATCAAAGAGGGTTTGGAAAGTTGCTCGTGTTAAGTACAAAACTTTCCTTTCCACCTCTTTTCCCTACCCCCACGGCCCAAAGAAAGAAGGAAAATTCAATTCGTGTTTCTTTCCTAGGCCAGCGGTTTCAAGCTTCAGTGTGCATTAGAACCACCTGAGAGCCTGTCCCCAGACTTTCTGATTAGATCTTGAGGTCAATAGAATTTACAATTTTAGTAAGATTGCTGGTGATGCTAAGGGTGGTGGCACAGGGACCACACTTTGAGAATCACTGCCCTGGGCCTTGCTTCTAGAATTTATTTATCTAAATTTAGCAGCGACTCGATTTCATCTGTTCTTTTGAAAACAATGGGGGTGGAAGGATTGGAGGGTACTGTCTAGGCAGAATCACAGTAATCAAGAGCACTGAGAGCAAGTCTGATTCTCTGGGTTCAGGTCCTGGTTTCCCCACTTACTAACTGCATGCCCTTGAGTATGCTACTAAACTCTGGGCATCTTTTTCTTCATCTGTAAGATGGAGGTACTAATACTCCTTATCTCATGAGGTGACTGAGAGATAAAGGAGTTAATACGTGTAATGTATACAAGTACCTGACACACAGTACACGCTCACTAAAAGCTAGCTATTCGTCTATTTCTTAAAAACCTTAATTTAGTAGCCATAAGTTGTACCTTGTCGGCAGAGACTCGTTCTAAGTTGGTAACATGATGATTACTTTCTAGATCAGTCTCGGTGACAGGGGGGCTTGATCTTGGGGATTAAGTGAGTCCTCTGTGTAAGTCCTTTTTTTTACTTAAGGCCAAGCGTGGGCAGCAGACCCAGTCTGAACGAAGCAGTGTTACCAGCCTCTGCATTCTGTGAAGGGTTATGGAGCAATAGTGATGTAACCCCTTAGAATGTGGCAGAACTTTAGATATTCTTAGGAGGAGTTGGAGGTTTGGAGAGCCCTGCATGAGATGCAGGGGTTCCCTAATGAGGAACCTAAAACAATGGCGAGGGGAGACAAATCCAGGTCTTATAGAAACCCTTAGAAACCAGTAAGCCATTTCTATTCTACCAGGATAAAAGGCTCAGAGCTTTATTCAAGAGATGGATGTGTAATAGTTAGGATATTGATACAAGCATTCTAACAAAGACCAAGATAAGGTCTTCCATCTTCAAATAAGATGGAAGGTTTATTTCTCTCTCATGGAAACGTCCAAGCTGGCAGGCGAGGGGAAGGACAGCTCTGTTCCCGTTCCTTCTCTCTGCCATCCCCTTTTGCCATTACCCTTTTCTACATGGTCGGAGCTGGCTCTACATTTCCTCACCCTGAGGACAGGAGAGAAAACATCAGTGCTGGGCCCACTGCTGCATCGTAGGAACACAATTCCCACTGGCCCACTAGCTATAGGGGAGGTTTGAAGGCCTTTCCTCAGGGGCAGTTCCTGACTCCAGCAATAAACAGCTCCAGAGGGAGCAAATATAATGACTTCCCAGCCTGGGCAAAGAAGTGAGGAGTAGCCAGTGTTGCAAAAATTTCTCTTAAAGCTATGGAAAAAAATAGATCAGAAGTGTGTGCCCAGGAGTTGAGACAGTGCCACTGCCCCAGATTCTACAGCCTGGAAAGTGGTACTCCCTGCAGAGGGCTGCCACTTGATGTCAGTCGGGGCTCCTTTCTCCCTGATTTGTTCCCTGTGAGGCCTACACAGTCTCCGTACCCTGCCAGGCTCTGCGGGCTAGAGCCCCAGTACTGGGTTCAGAATAATCTGCAAGTTCTTAGCAGCCTGGATGTCCTACACCCTCTGTTACTGCTTTATTTTTTGCTTCTGGAAAGTATTTCAAAGTCCTCCTTCATGGGGGGAAGTGGTCCGTCCTTAAGAATGTTTCTGGCTCATTCCATTTAACCCAGAATGGAAACCCCAGGGAAGTCCCCAGAATCCCAGAACACAGCTGTTGCCCCTTGATCCTGAAAATTCTCTTCACCTTCCAGGAAGTAAAGCTTCTATCTGACTTGAGACCCAAATTCATCAAAACCAAAAAGCAGTTGAAACTAGAGACAAGGACAACATAAGAAAGGAAATTTTCAGACCAATCTCACTTATGATCAAAGACGCAAAATTCCTAAATAAAATATTAGCCAATCAATCCTTAAGCTTATATTTAAATATATAATATTTTATGATATATGGTGTGTGTGTGTGTGTGTATATGTATGTGTGAGTGTACTGAATTCATGACTGAATTCGGTTTATCCCAGGAATTCAGATAGTCTCATAGGGGAATGTCTGTTTATGTAATTCACATCAAGAGGTTAAAGGAGAAAAACCTTAGGGTCATCTCAATAGATACAAAAAGAAAAATAAATTTATGACATTCGCCCATTCATGATTTAAAATTATCAAAGTGGGAACAGAGGAAGACTTACTGATTTTAATAGAGAGTGTCTACCAAAAACCTACAGTAAACATCACACTTTAATGGTAAAACTTTAAAAGCCTTCTCTTGAGACAAGGAACTGGGATAAGCACGCCCTCTGCCATTGCTTCTATTTCAACATTGTGGTAGCACCGTAGGGAACCAAAGGGAAGGAAAAGGGCAGAAAGGAGGAAGTGACACTGCCATTATTCCCAGACAATAGTAGTACTTATATGGAAAATCTGAGGGCCTCTACAGACAAGTTATTAAAAGACAAACAAAATGCAGCAAGATTACTAAATAGAGATCACATAAAAATCGATTGTGGAGAAACAATAGTATGTCAAAACACAAAGCACAATTTATAATGCAATTTTAAGATCATTGTTATTATGGAAAACCCCAAACATACACAAAGATAAACAGAACAGCACAAGAATCCCACATCCCCAACTCCTCCCTTCTGCATTATTTTTTTTTAAAGATTTTATTTATTCACTTGAGAGAGCGAGAATGAGAGAGAGAGCACACAGAGGGGGGAGGGTCAGAGGGAGAAGCAGACTCCCTGCTGAGCAGGGAGCCCGATGCGGGACTCGATCCCGGGACTCCATGATCACGACCTGAGCCGAAGGCAGTCGCTTAACCAACTGAGCCACCCAGGTGCCCCCTTCTGTATTATTTTGAAACAAATTTTCCAGGCTCATATCATTTTACCTATACACATGAGTATATATATATATATCTCTAGAAAACAAGAAAACACACTTTTTTTTAAAGATTTTATTTATTTATTTATTTGACAGAGAGAGAGAGCACAAGTAGGCAGAGCGGTAGACAGAGGGAGAGGGAGAAGCAGGAAGCCCAATGTGGGACTCGATCCCAGGACCCTGAGATGACCTGAGCCAAAGGCAGACGCTTAACTGACTGAGCCACCCAGGCGCCCCAAGAAAAGACACTTTTGACATAATTGTAATACCACTATTGCACCTAAAAATTAGAACTATTCTTTAATATAATTGAATATTCCATTTTTTCAATGCTGTAATTGTCTCATAATTTATTTTAATTGTTTTAGAGTTTGTTTGTTTGCAGTTGGTTGTTGGGGCCTTCACGTCTCCTTTAATTTATAGGCTCCCCTCCATTTCTTTTTTTTTTACCCTCTGTTAGTTTATTTTTAGGAAATTGAGTCACTTGTCCTATGGAGTTTCCTACAATCTAGATTTTGCTGTTGCTTCCTCATGGGGTAGTTTTATGTGTTTCTCTGGTCTTCTGTATTCCCCATAATAAAAATTAGTACTAGGATCTAGAGACCTGGACAGATTCAGGTTTGGTTTTTCCTTTTAGCAAGACTGTTTCCTGGAAGGCATTGTATTCTTCCATCAGGACACATAATGTTCACTTGTTCTCTTTGCGAGGCCTGCAGCTACAGATCTGTTCATTCACAGAGGCTGCAAAATAGTGTTACTGAAATTCTCTTGTTCTTTCTCCACTCATTACTTGGAAAACTCCTACCAAAGGAAACAAAAGAACTTTCCTCTTCTACTGGCTATCCACTGGTACAGTTTATATAGGAAGGCAGGATAAATGTAACTTTTAAATATAACATATATATGTATAGATTGATGTATATATATCCTACAAATAAATGTAAAAAAGATATGTGAGACTTTCTTGAAGAAATTATAAAATTTTGTTAAATTAAATGAAAATAGACCAAAATAAATATAATGTTCTATATAATGCTGTATATAATGTTCACAAATAGGAAAGTGACAATTTTCCCTAATTTACAAATTCAGTGCAACTACAGTTTTTTTAAATTCCCAGTTGGGTTTTTGGTACAACATGATAAGTTGATCCCAAAATTCATAAAGGGGCTTAAAATAATAAAATTTTGAAGAAAAACAAAGAGGCCAAATACTAAAATATCAAAAATATTAAATATCAAAAATCACTTTAAGGCCATATGATATTGGCTTAGGGACAGACAGAAGAGAATAGAGAATCCAGAAATAAATGCACCCATGTATGGAAACAATATATGGCAAAAGTATAAAGAATGATCTATTTTTCAGTATATAATTTTGAGATAACTGGTTATCTAATTTTTAAATCTTTACCTCACAAAATATTGGGTGTAGTTTTTTGAAAAAGCAAAAAAAAAAAACTTTTTTAAGATTTTATTTTTAAGTAATCTCTATACCCAGCGTGGTGCTCAAACTCACACCCCAAGATCAAGAGTCTCATGCTCTTCTGACTGAGCCAACCCCCCTGAAAAAGCAAAAGTTTTGAACTTTTTTGGAAGAAAATATAGAAGAATATCTTTATGAATTTGAGAAAGGAAAAAATTTCCTACCCATGATTCAAAACATAAACCATAAAGAAAATTACTGACAACTCTGGGTATATTAAAATTTAAAGTTTTTGACAAGACAGCAAAAACAAAGTTAAAAGGCAAATCACAGGGGTGCCTGGCTGGCTCAGTCGGTGGAGTGTGCAACTCTTGATCTCGGGATTGTGAGTTTGAGCCCCATGTTGGGTGTAGAGATTACCAAAATAAATAAACAAATAAAATCTTTAAAAAAAGACAAATCATAGACTAGAAGACAATATCTGTAGTGTATAAAACCAACAAAGTATTAATATCAAAATGCAGCAAGAACTGCTACAAATAGATAAGGAAAAGACAATCAACCCAAGTAAAAAATGGCTGAAAGATACAAACAGGCAATTAACAGAAGAGGAAGCCTAAGTAAATGGCCATGTAAAAAAAATCAACTTTGCTGCTAATCAGGAAAATTCAAACTAAAAAAAAAGATATCATTTCATATATATATCAGATTAGCCAAAATTTGAAAGTCCACAAACACCCATTGTTGATGAGGATATGGAGTTTTAGAAATTCAGAGCAATTTGGAAATATCCGGTAAATTGAAGATGCATATACCTTGCAACTCAACATATTCCCATGTATACCTTAGAGAAACTCTTCCATGTATGAAAAGTGACTTACTCAAGAAGGTTCATTGCAGCATTGTTTGTAATCACAAAAAAATTGGAAATAATCAAAACAGCCATCAGCAGCAAAACGGATAAATAACTTATGGTATGTTTATACAATGGAATAGTGTCAGTAGCTTATAATAAATGAAGGGAAACTATGTGTATTATCATGAATTAATCACAAAAACATTTTTTTAAAGGTTTTATTTATTTGAGAGAGAGAGAGAGAATGAGAGAGAGAAAGCACGAGAGGGAAGAGGGTCAGAGGGAGAAGCAGACTCCCTGCTCAGCAGGGAGCCCGATGTGGGACTCGATCCCGGGACTCCAGGATCATGACCTGAGCCGAAGGCAGTCACTTAACCAACTGAGCCACCCAGGTGCCCACAAAAACAAAATGTTAAGCAAAATAAATAAGTTGCAAAAGTTATATAAATGATAC